CACTCTCTCTCACTCTCACTCACTCACTCACTCACTCACTCACACACACACACACACACACACACACACACACACACTTACATTCTCACTCAAACACCCACACAGTAACAGAAAAAACACGAGCACTCCCCTCCCTCCTCTCGTTTCCTCCTCACTCTCTCACTCAGTCATCCCTGTTTTAACACTTCTTCTGGTTGCTAGGAGACGCAAAGCCACAGAAACAGGCAGATCAGCATGGAAACGGAGAAATGCTGTGCAAAATTTTTGGGGGGAGCAAAAGCATGTCAGGTATGAGCGACTAACCTGTATGCAAAAATGAAGAGCACTGATGTGTGCCTCACCTTTGAGAGATCCACTAGTGTGTTGGCCTGATCGCTGAGTTTCCTCTGCTCCATTTTCACGCTGCGTAATCTGCAAACAGATGCACACATAAAACACACATACAGGGTGGAAACCCGGTAAATATGCTGTGGTTGGACCAGAGAGTTAATCCCTCAGGGTTCAGACAACACCACTCTGGAGCGGTCACCTTGCCAAGTTGAGCTTCATTTCTACCTGCAGTGTGTCCCTTGATTTGAATGTACAATAACAGCAAGCACACAGTGTGGACTGAAACATAGTAATCTTGTCATGAAGTAGAGAATACATAGATTTGTATATATATAATGAATGCAGGAAAAGAAACATTAAAAGTTAAAAGATAATTATTATTAAGGAAAACTTCTGGGGCACAAGACCTAGAGGGAAATAAACCAACAGGAAAAAATCTGATAAAAAAAAAAAATCAGTCCAATTAAAAGCCTATTGGACTCTCAAAGCACTATACAATAATTGGTGAACTAACCTGTGTTTTCATAAAACAAACCCTGTGAGGCTGACTTTATGAGACTGCACCCCCAGCTGAGCCCGTCTCCTGTTATGCTAACAGATTTTAACCACAGAATGTACCCCTATTCCCATCGAGTCAGCCCGGTTGCTGTGTTGACACAGCCAGTCCACAGTCCACATGAATAAGGATTAGCCTTTGAATGTTAGATTTAACACAGCCTTACGTCTCTTGACTCTGGCTTTTGAACTGTCCTGGAGTTGAACCGTTAAAGATCAAAGGATCAGGAAACATTTACGAGATCCTTCATTTAGATGCTGGACAGAGGATATACAAAAAATCTTTTTCTTTATGTGTGTGAATTACACTCTGAGCACTTGTAACAGCAGCATCACTTTTTGGGAGAGATGACAGGGTGATCGGAGTGTCTCTAACAGCACACAATGCACATGATTATCCATTCCCACAAGTGTATTTGCCTGGATTGAACCTGCCCTTTCGTAGATGATGAATCACATCATGCGTGTGTGTGTGTGTGTTTGTGTGTGCGGGGATTAATGCATTTTATCTGATGATCAGCGTTGATTCAACCTGTGGGTGGATAGAAAGTACAGCTGATTTCAAAGGCTTCATCAGCTCAGCAGCGCCGTCATGCGCATGTGCTCGTGTGCACGGGTGTGCTTGCGTGCGCGAGTGTATGTAGTTGTGTGTGAGGTGCGGTCTCACTGATGTATAGCCTGGAGGAACTTCCGCTGGTGTTTGCGGACTCTCGAATGGTCGATCTTCTTCATCAGCTTGGTGTGTTTGTAGATGAGCCAAGTCTCTCTTAGTACGTTAGCAGCTGCATTCTTTATCTGCTCCCAAAAAAGAATAAGCACACATATACACACTTATTGTTAGCAACAGGTGGTCCTTGGCAACTGAAACTGGCAACAGGTTTGCCCAGCCCTCTCGTCTTTCTCTTTTTTCCCCTGGTTTTGCTATTATCTATGCAAAGAAGAAAAAAAAACACTAAACCATCATTCTCTTCTTAGAGGCTGCCCTCGTTCTCTCTGTCTCTCTCTCATGCTCCCTCTCTCTCTACACATACCGGCTTGCCTGCCAATGCTTTTCATGTGTGCATAAACAGCTCTCTCCTTAGGGAGATTGGCAATGAGAACCAACAGGAGTCTCCCCCTCACACACACTTCTCTCTTCTCTTGGTTTGTCTACATGCCACATTATATCTTAGACTTATTCAAATGGGGCTGCATTATCTTGGCTGGCTGAAGTAATTCAGCGCAGCACCATCGCAGTGTATTAAAACCAGTGATCTTCTGTTTAATTATGACAACAACTGAAAGCAACAATCGCTGCACAGTCACTGCACTCAAACTAGCTGTCAAAGGCATTCCCCATCTCTACAGAGGAGGAACATTAGCCTATGTAATGATGCTCAGTTGTGGCGAGCCACTCCAAGACGGTTATTTTTCTTCACTTCATTTGTTTGGACCAGCAGAATGGGAGATTTCTTTGATTTAATAAAATGCCTGTTTGAAATGTCAGTTTCTGGTCATTTTCTATAGATAAATATCGGGATTCTTCTACTTTCTCGCGGCTCCATACTTGTTCCTGTATGTTTCATGTATTTTATAGGTTGCTATGTAATTACAACACAGGGGTCTGACACCCATCGAAAAAAGCGAGGGTGGACACCATAGAGAAGGGAGAGAGAATCTGTAAGGACATAAATTGAATGAGAGACTTCAAAGAGATGCTGAGCATTGAACAAAGAACAATTATACCCCCGTCTGAGGAGCACAAAAGACCCCGGCAGCTTGGCTAATCAGCACCCATCCACCGCAGTCAAGGACTGCTCACTCACATACACGCCTACACATACACACATGCAGACACACACACACACACTATTGGCTACAGATGAAGAGAGTAGGAGGCCGTGGGCCTTGCAGATGTGTTTTCAATAACACAGAGGAAGTCAAACCAAATAGAGCTCATCGAGCGAACTATAGATAATATATAAGGCCCCCGTGATTCAGCAAATTCGACACGTTATCCACCATTTGTAAAGACAGTAAAGATAAAAAAAATTACCTTTATTCTGCTTAATTTAAAAAACAAACAAACCCACAACAACAAAACTTACAGTAACCCTACAAAATAAAACACATTTATGTTAAAATTCATGGAATGACATAATTTGAATGTGCAAGCATCACCTTCCAGTGTGCATCAATGGGATTACAGACCTCCCAACCGTGTGGCAAACACAGGCAGTGACAGACCTGCAAAGATCTTAAAGAGCCATCACAACCCTGACATGCTGTTTAATAGGCCGGGGGCGCTAATGTTGTTTATATATAACATGTTTATAGCAGGGCTTTTTGAGACACTACATCTAAACTACATTACATTAGATATGCTGCTGAAGGATACATGTAAGATTAATTAGTATTAACTTACTTAGATTATGTTGGAATAAATAGAGTTCATTATTGCTCTCTCTCTCTCTTTTTGTTTTACAGGCACTAAAGAGCACATTCAGTACTGTTTAAAGCTGTGGGCCCTTTGGTAGACTGAAATGCCAGATCTTGTTTATCACATGATTAATGGCTGCAGGGTGAGTGAAAGATGATGATTGATGGCATCTTGTGTCTGACTGAATGGCAGGCTGCGGAAGTTTTTCCAGTTTTCAAGCACAGGTCCAGCAGTGCAGAGGGAGTCTACCGCTGCTGGACATTTTTTTCCTTCTTTTTTGTGCAGATGATTATAAAGCATCATTTAAATCCTGGAAACAAAAAATGAAACCCAACTGTGTATTTTTTGCAAAGACCCCACCACCACCGGCACACTGTATTTAATTGTCTCTCTCCTCCTGTGAATCAATGTAGATATCGATGCAAAGACAGCTACTCCATTAACAAAGCTAACAGACTCAACATGAACCGCTAAGAATACGCCACGAGAAACCAAATGACAGCAGCGGCAGCCATTCCTGGACCATATGGCTTGTACTCGGGCAACCATGTTAGGGCCATCTGGCTGGTTTGGGTCAAAGATCTGTTCTGGCTGCTCCCCTGTGTGGCACACCTTATGGCAGGTACACGCAAAATCTGTTAACGCATGGGGCTCCCACTTCTCAGCATGCTAGGCAGTTGATGACATGTTGCAGAATATAAATTAATCAGCAGAAATAGAAACGTTTTACTGAAATTACTATATATATATATATGTAATCCCAGTTTATAATACATTAAAAACAGAATGTTTACATTTACTAAATAAACATTAACTGAAATACCAAAACTGGGAAAAGAAGGGAAGAAGAGAAATAGACTTTTTTTTCTCATCAGTCGGAAACAAGATCAGAGGTAAAGCTAAATAAAGACTCAACCTTTTTCACCCTGGAGGTCCACATACCAGGATTATAAAGACACAACCACTGCCATTTTCAAAGGTTGCCAAGTGTGGCACTTTCACTTAAAATGAAATCAGCTTCTTATTGCTGCTGAGACTAAAATGGATGTAGAATTGTTGAGAATTTTTAGACCAGGTTCAACACCATTAGTGTCACTGACTTACAAAACCTCGCTGGCTATTTTATTAGGTACACCTGTTCAGCTGTTTGTGAACCTATCATTAACGGGAATATCTAATCACACGGCAGCAGCTCAATATACTCAGGCATGTAGACATGGTCAAGTTGACCTGCTGAAGTTCAAGCTGAGCATCAGAATGGAGAAGAAAGGGAATTTAAGTGATTTTAAAATTAGCATGGTTCTTGGTGCCAGATTTGCTGCTAATCTACTCTGATTTTACTACACAACCATCCCTAAAGTTTACAAAGAGTGGCATGCAAAAGAGAAAATATCCAGCGAGCAGTAGTTCTCTAGTTGAAAAAGTCTTGGTGATGTCTGAGGTCAGACTGCTTTCAGCAGATAGGAAGGTAAAAATGAGTTAAAAAAGAAAACACAACCAGGGTATGCAGAAGAGCATCTCTGGGCAGCAAACGACTACACCGGTGTCACTTCTGTCAGGTAGAAACAGGACTGATGCTAAAATTCCCACACAGGCTCACCAAAATTGGACTTAAGATATGAAAAATATTCCCTGGTTTAATGAGTCTTGCTTTCTGCTGTGACATTCAGATGGTAAGGTTTTAATTTGGTGTAAACGACATAAAAGCATGGATCGATCCTGGCTTCAGTCAGTGATTCAGACTGGAAGTAGTGGTGTAATGTTGTGGGGGATATTTTCTTGGCACAATTTATGTCCTTTAGTATCAGTTGAACATCATTTAAACACCACAGCCTGCCCAGCTAATGCTGCTGACCATGTCCACCCTTTCATGATCATAGAGTACCCTTCTTCTGATTGCTGCTTTCAGCATGTCAAAGCTTCATTCATCTCAAACTGGTTTCTTTGACTTGACATTGAATCCACTGTACTCAAATGGCATCCATAGTCACCAGATCTCAATCCAACAGAGCATATTTGGGATGTGGTGGAATCGGAGACTCACATAATGAATGTGCAGTCGACAAATGTGCAGCAACTGCGTAAAACTATCATGTCATGTTAGTAATTTATAGTTTTGAGAGATAATAATTTTTTTTGCTGGATATTTTCAAGTCTCACAGATGCAGAAACATTATATATCAAAATTAATTCTAAATGTATTAATTTTGGCCCTACAGTTTTATAGCTGTAGAGTAGAACTGGAGATTTTTACTCAATTGGACATTTAAATAAAAGCCTAGCACTTATAGGGTTAATGACCTGTGCATGTAATTAGTAATTAGGCTCTGAGATGCTGGACACACAATGGTGTTTTTCCAGTGATCAGAAAACAAACAGACGAATTGCCTTGGCAACAAACTCATCCATGTGCCACTGTGACACGTGGCCTTACCTGCTCTGACCTTCCCTTCACAGACACACTGACAAGGGGACAAGGAGACACTTAGGCAGACACAAACATGGCCACACACAAGTACAATAATCACTATTTCAGCATCCAAAGCAAAGGAGAGTGATGCCCTTAGGCTCAAGTTAAAGGTGAAACAAATCAATAAAATCACAGAACATTAAATTACAGTTAAAATAATCACTGGATCTTATTAGGGGGCTAACACATTTTCTACATTAGAAGGAAGCTCATGTGCAAGTTCAACTGGCAAAAACTGAAAAAAAACATCAATGAGATATGTAAATGCACTCGTGGAGCATTGAATGAATTGTCACCATCACAATATGACTATAATAACAATGAATAACGATATGCTTATAAATGAAAAGGCTGCTAAAAGTTATTTTTATTATGTGGAGTGGAAGCTAGCTTAGTGGAAATCTTCGGGGGTTAGATTGCTCCCATTTGGCTACTGGTGTAAACATTGGAAGGCACTGCGGCACCTCCTCCTTGGCCAGAGTCCAGAGTGCACTCTGAATATTCAGACAGGCCGAAGCTCTGAAATGTGCCGGAGGGACTCGTAAAAGTGCCCTGAATTAAGTAGTGGTCCAGTGTGAAAGCAGAATATGCATCCCGAGTGCAAATTTCTAGAAAGATTTTTTTTCCAGCTTCTAACTTGGAACGAGAGTTTAAAAGCCTGAAAAAAAGTAATGACCTCAGATACAGACGGTGTCAGCCACAGTCACACAGTCAACTGGCTTACTGCTTCAATAAAAGGAATTTAACACTGGAATTTGACATCGTAGCGCCATCAAAAGGAAGGAGATGTTAGCCCACTGACTTAGCGCCTGAGCAAGCATGTCCTGCTTTTCTTGGTGTTGAGTGAGCTCTCTGAAAGTTGAGGGTGAAATTTTGACCAAATGGGCTTCCAGCAGTGCTCTGAATCAACCAGTGCTTCAGTACACAGCCACAAAAAACAGCAGCAACAAACCAAGAATCGAGAAGAAAAAACAGTCCTGGCATCAAACAACAACAAATCACACCTCACACACATAGTCAACTTAAGGACTAGATTAACTGCTATTTAATTAACATTTGCATTAATCCTATCAGATGGAGAGACTTCACTGAGCACTGCATGAAAATTAACTCGGTGCATCAGTCTTTGGAAGGAAATCATTCTCCCCGATAAGGTTATTAGGCCCTCCACACGCAATGTGCACTGCACAGGGGTTCAAAATATCAACTTCAGTCTTGACATTGCTCTGCATAAAAAACGGATCGAGGATGAAAGCAGCAAGTATTCATCAATCATGAAAATAGAAAGGATTCAAAAAATTGTCAAAAAGTGTCAAAATCATAAGGAAAAGTTACAGCAAGATTTTTGGGCTCAGATTTTCATGCTATTGATGAACCACACCCTATTCTTTACACAACATTACAAAATTACATTAGATTGCACAACACCTCGTTCAGATCAGCTAAGAGCGTCTCTCTGGCATTTAATTGACATTCTTGTTAATCCTTCAAAGGGAAGTAGACAGCATTGCAGTGAGTTAGAAAGACAGACTGTGTGCTTTCCTGTCTGTTTGTGTGTGTGCGCACATATGATGATGGCAAGATGTTGAAGCTATTGTTGCATTATTTATTATAAAGCTTTGACTGATTGTATTCTCTTGGTACAAAGATGTGGCAAAGAATGGCCCCGGCTATGTAAATCAATGTGCACACAACAGCTTCAATCATTGGTCTCTCAGTGATAGGGCAGGAGACAATTACCGCAGCATAAACCGTAGACCCTTTGAAGGGAAATGTCACCAAGCAGCATGCTGCATATTGCTCTAGGAGGCCTCCGTTACTTGATGAGCGGGTTTATTAAGATCATGAATTACCCTTAATGATGATGGCATTTGCTTTAAAATATGAATATAATCTTTTTGCTTGAGGGGCTAATAAAATTGATCAGTGTGACAAAAAATACAATACTTTTTTAGCTACCAGTTAAAAATTTGGGATTTGATGTGACTTTCCTCAACCTTTAAACCTTAAGGTACACATGTACCGCAGCAGGTACTTTTGTAATTACCAGGGGATTGGGAAAAAATTGTAGGTTAGCTGAATAAACGATAAAAATTCATTTGATTATAGTATTTAGCACATTTACGGTCACAATTACCAGCTACACAAACCACACAGCCTCCACATAACCTGATCTGCATCGAGTTTAGCAGAAAAGCTGAAAAGGCTAAAAAACTAATGGAAAAATGATTGATATGTACACTGTCTGCCACTTGAAGAGGTGAAGATGAATTTGCATTTCAATGAGGAGTATGAATGCAAATTAAGGTAACCTGCTGAAACAAGAATCTTTAGGCCTGCTAGCAGCGCGGTGAAGCTGTGCTTTGAGCTAAATGCTAAACTGATCATGCTAATATGATCAGGCTACACCGTTTCACCAGGCTGTCAGCAGGCCCAAAAACTCACATTCACTGTACTAACAAAGAAACTTTTGAACATTAAAACAAAAGCCAAGTTTCTACAGGCAAGGTGGTAAAACACTTAGCAAAACTGCTAACGTTAGCTCAAAGCACTGAGTACTGCTGCAAAATTTAAATAGCTATTAATTTGATAATTAAGCCCCAATCACACTGGTCGCTAGGAAAAAAGATATATACCCGACTGTTTGGGCGTGATTGCTGGAGGTTGGTGGCAGTCGCTGTGAATTGCTAAGCCCTCTATTCACACAGGCCATGAGACCAGTCAGTAATCCCGTGGTAATCATGGGTTACTAGAGGAATTACTAGAGAATTTGCAAGTTGCTTCTGTTGCTAAGAGAAATTGGTTGCAAAGAGGTATATGGTGTTGCATCGAAAACCCTTTTACGATTGCTTTGGTCACTAGCAGGTTGCCATGATCACTTGTTGTTTACATGGAAAATGGTAACTTGTCTGCAGACACTCAAAAACTATATGCCACGTTAGGGGAAAAAAATGCAACATAAACCATAAACAGAGAGTAAAACTTGTGCCTTTTAAAACGTTTTGACTGCTGCAGTAAGGCCTGTACAGTTTTTACGCTCCCTGTTTTGGGTTTGCTTTGCACTTCAAACAATGTCACCACCCATCGGCGAGTAGTTAGCGACAGACTGTGGACAAATTTGTGCCTTCCATGAAAACAACGGGCAACCATTACAACATGCTGGCAACCAAAGCAATCACAAGATCACAAGATTTTGGGTTTACCATACAACTGCTTACACTTAGTGAAAATGTTGGAGATTTTACCCTAGTGACAACAGATTTTAGGGGAGCTGCTGGCTGATTTCTAGACCAGTGTGACTGAGACCTTATTAAACTAAAATGAAAACCACCTGATTTGAAAAATGACACCAATGTGGTCAAAAAACTGCAAATCTTTGGATGCTCAATTGGGATTATCTGCAAAAGCAAGTCTATCTCCAAAGACTCATGAGTTAAAATGCCTGGCTTTAAAGCAGAGGTATATTTAGCTTGGAATCTTTGGTCTCTATAGCAAATTTTACAATTTATGAAAGCAAAAACAAAAAAACAGAAAACAAACCAAAAACTTCACAACTGACAATGTCGGTTGGGAAAAAAATTGGGTTGCTTGAAAAAAATCCAAGGTAAAAATCTGTTTTTCAGCAGATATTATGTAACATTTCAGGTAGGGGTGTTTTTTTTATGTTTTTCCAGCATTGTTTTTTTAAGGGCCATTTTAAATTTTCCATTATCTAGAAAAACTGCTTGAACTTAGTCCTTTATATTTTTCAGGGTTAATATCTGGTACTCCTGCTCTCAGGAGTGAATTTCAAGTTAACAAAATATTGAAGGATGCTTGAAAGTCCCTAAAATATTTGAAACTCTGGTCTCTGACAACAGTTTTGGAGGACTGTAGAAAACCACAATTTTACAGGGTGGAGACTGATATTTTTTTTTACAGCTTCTCATATACAAAGCACACAATAATCTTTAAAACAGTCTAAACTGGGAAAATAGCTTCATAGACATTAAAGCTTGAATATGGAAGAAAAAAAAATACACTGAAATGTGATATTTCCCAGGTGTGACACCATATACAATATCTAAATGAACTTTAGATAATTTAAGACAAAGCAAGTGTGTAACAGCATTCTCTGTCATTTTCTCGTTGTGAATTTTGAAATGCTCATGGCAGCCAAACATTGTTTCAGAAGCAGAAGAAGAGGTTTTAATTCAGTGTACCAACAATCATTTACAAAAGATCTCAAACTGATACGTCACATGCAAAAATTAGGGGGTTAATAAACTCACGGAGTCGTCCTCTAAGGAATATATGCCTAAAATTCAAGGCAAGCCTTTGAATTATGTTAGGATATTTTAGCCAAATAACAGACAACTAAATGATGCAAAATGAATATGTTGTATAATAACAAAGGTAGTTAAATCTTATTTTCAATAATAAACTGTTCATATCAGATTCAGTTTGCAAAATATCGCCGCCCTTGCAAACACCTGTGGAGCACATGGTTAAGGATGGTAAACATCTTGTGAAAACAGACCTGGCCAAAGACTGCAGGAACATGAAGAGAGAGCCTGGCTACAACTGACACACAGAGTCTATTTGGTTTCTTTGTCGATATCTTATCCACGCTCAAATTATTGATCACCCCACTCCGTTCAGTCACCCAGATAACCCTGCTGCCATCATGCACCCTACATATTTGATATGGGAGCTATTTTTAAAACTTGGGTCTTTCAACTGTATGAAAAATTGAAAAGGACCAGAGGAGGGAGGGAGGGAGTTGGGAGAGATGGGGTGTGGGGAACGGAGGCTGGGAGGGGGCAACAGAAGAAGGAGAAAGCGGTGGAGGAAGGAGAGAAGCAAATGTGACACAGAGAGAAAAGGATTTACTGTAAGAGAGACAAATGTCAGAGGAGAGGGGAGGTGTGGGAGGGAAAAGATCGGCGATGGAAAGAAAAAGAGAGCGGCGGTAAGTGAGGGAGCGGAACAGAGAGAGTGAGACAGAGATGACCTTTTATTGCCTTCGCTCACTCAAATAACATGGCACTCTGTCACAACAATACAGGGTGTAATGTGCTAGTTGGGGAGGGTGACGCAGTAGCAGTGAAAGAACAATCCTTTTAGCCGGGCTCTCGACGCCAAAGAAATTCTACAGTGTAAAATCACCTGCACTGCACATAAAAACCGCACTTTTACAAATGACAGCTGCAGGGAGAACGAGTGCTCTTTACACTCTGTGCTTTTGCTTTATTGCTGCTACAGACGACACACTCATTCACACGCACGCACTCACTGACATCGAGCATGCCTACACACCCTCTTGGTGAGTTGCGTGTCCATCATGAAGTTGTGTACATGTTTCTCGGCCTTGGTCAGCTCCAACTTCCTGGCTACCACGGCAACCACCAGAGCCGTACAGCCCGCACCCTATGAGAGACAAGAGGGGAGGGAGGGAGGAGGACAGAGTCAGCCAGTACAGAGGTGGAATTGGTAAATCTGTGGTTTTTGGACAGGGAATTAGTTCAGATGATTGAAGGGAGCAAGGACAAATATGAAGATGACAGAAGGAGAAGTGAATGGGAGAGAGGAGAGGATTAGGAGGAATAGCTCTGTTCCAGATCCACATTTCCTCATGTTGAGAGGCAAGCCAAATCTATTTTCACCTCCAATCCATCTGGTGTGAGATGCCTTCTATATCGCCTCTATAGGACGCTGAAATTGTGCCCCTTAAAGATAAAACCAGAAAAAAAAATATCACCGTTTGACACCAACTAATTTAATTTAATTGGATGTTGTCAATCCGAATTACGTGGTGTCAGTCTTCTCCTGTCACTGGTGGCTTGAGGCCTGCAGGATGTGTAAAAGTGTAAAACAGCACTAGTTTGTCTGTATCCCAGCTCAACCCACGTGGGACTCACGGCAAATTCATTTGGGAGAGAATGACAGCAGTCTCTCAACCAAAAAAGACATGCTTGAGAGGAGAAGAGGAGCAGGAACACAGGGAAGAAGACAGACTTAATTAACTTTTAGATTAGACACTGTATTCAATGGGGCTGTTGAGTGCTCACAGGTTCCTCTGAAGGGGCAGGCACCGAGAGGGAAAAAAGAAGAGAGAGGGGAAGAAAAGATAAAGAAAGTGAAGAGCAATGAGTAAATATAAATGGGGAAGGGAAGAAACATGGGCGGATGAATATATGAGGCGAGGGTGTGTGCACGGAATAGGAGGAGAGAAAGATGGAGAAGAAGGCAATGTTAATGAGGTCACATATCTCCTGATAAGTAATGAATTAAGATTAAGAGTGTTTAATGAAAATGTATGAGTGTCTTCCTTCCTTCTTGTAAGTATGCGAAGCTCACAGTTAGCAGAGGATAGGAGTGACAGAATAAAGAGATATAAGGAGAGAAACATAGTGACTTAGAGCAACAGCGAGGGCGCATGCAACATTTTGAAGCGTGCAGGAAATAGCCGGGACTTCATCATGCACACTCCTGAACGACAAGACAGGTTTGCCAAAAATAACCTTGGCTGGGTTCAGTGAAATGTAACGCACAAACAGGCCTTAGTGCCCACATCTATACACTCATCCACTCTATTTGTGTTTATTCAAAAACTATGAATAAAATATGATGAGAGCCAATGGAAACCCCTTAGAGCATTTGTACATGTCTGCGCTTTAGGGAACAGAGCCCTCAGATAACAAACAGCACAAAATGCAGCGCAGTGTGCACGTGTTCACAAATGACCTCCTTGGTCAGAAACAGCGGGGCACTGATTGGTTTGTCGGGGCAGCCTTTGTGTGTGTGTATGTGGAAGCATGCGTTGACAAAGTGGCTGTATATGTGTGTGTGTGTCAATTTGTTTGCACATGCATCTGCATCTATTTGCTTCCAGCAGCGCTCCCAGTGAAATGTCCATGCAGTGACACGACTGATGACGGCTATGCTGCTGTGATTTCTTCCATTTACCAGGGTGTTCCCCTTGTTTTCTTCAGTACAGCACAGCTGTCTACCCACTCAGAAAAGGGGGAATCACCCATCTGTGCCTTTGTGTAACACCCACGCGGTCCAGGTAAAAAGTGAATGCAAACAGCAGTGGAAAATTGTTTCCAAAACCAGTCAGTGGGAACATGCAGAGGGAGGAAAAAATACGGTTGGAAAAAAAAAAAAATTTAATATGCTCAATTAGTGTTCAAAATGCAAGCACTTAGAACAGAAAAGCCACAAAAAGGTTAAAAATGATAGCTTGTCTTCATCTGTTTAACCTGCAAGCCATCCACAACTGCAGTATGACTGCAGTTAAGAAGCTGTAGGAAATAAAAATAATTATGCACAGTCATATGGTAAAACTTAAATGTAACGCCTACATTTAGGATGAATCTACATGTTAAAAATATTGGAAATATAGCCCACTGTAATGTAGGACATTTTAAAGGAGACCTCTTGCTCCTGAATTTATACTATACATCATGCAATCACAATAAATGAATATTATTTTTATGATTTATTTTTCCAGCACCATATATATTTTTAAGGTCTCTTTTCTTGATTTACAGTTCAAAAATGCCTTATTTATCTCATATTGGCTCTTGATGTAGCCCCCCTGATATCGTCTACTGAAAACAGGCAATCTCTGTAAAGAGCCATTTCTGAAAGCTTGCCTTCTTCTGATTGTCTCTCGAATTGTTTCTGCAGCACAATGATTCTTATGGGCACTGCAGTTTCCTGTAACCAGTGTGGATGTTCTTGAAAGAAATTGTAAATCTTCTACAAAACATAATTTCTTGATCTCTAGTGGAAATGTTTTAAACGCACCTCCACCTGTTTGAGTCACAGATTAATCTGAAGACTGGACTCAAGGAACAAAAACTTTGACTGACAGACGGTTGCCAATACAGACGGCTCTAGCATAAGCTATGTGCTAAGCTTTGCCACTGCTAATCTGATTTAGCTGAACTGCTTGTGGGTTAAAGCATTTTTAATGCACGTATCCATAAAATAATACGGCTTGTGTGGCTAACCAACATTCCAAAGCATACATCCAAATCAACAAAAGAATGGCTTCACTAGAAGATTATGGTTATACAGGGAGTGCAGAATTATTAGGCAAATGAGTATTTTGTCCACATCATCCTCTTCATGCATGTTGTCCTACTCCAAGCTGTATAGGCTCGAAAGCCTACTACCAATTAAGCATATTAGGTGATGTGCATCTCTGTAATGAGAAGGGGTGTGGTCTAATGACA